AACCCCGAAACCCCTAAACCCGAAACAGGTCAGCGCTGTATTCGGAGTCCGGCCGGGGTTTTTGGCGGCCTCGGGGCTTAGGGCCTTTGGTGTTGGGGTTCAGGGGCTCCCGGCTCGGAGTTCAGAAGCTTTGGGTTTAGGGATTAGGGGTTTAGGGGTTTTGGGGCTCAGGGTTTAGGGTTTTGGGGTTCAGGGTTTAGGGTTTTGGGGTTTAGGGTTTAGGGGTTTAGTGTTTATAGGGTTCAAGGGGTTAGGAGCTTATAGCGAACCCCAGAAAGTCGGAACATGGATTAGGGATTTTTTGCAATGATGTTCCAACTTTTTGGCTTCTACTGCAGGGTTCCGGGTTTAGGATTTAGGGCTTAGGTTTAGGATTCGGATTTAGAAATTTAGAGTTTAGGCCTCAGGGTGCGATCCAGAAGATAACCTGTGAAAGGACACCGGGGCAGAAGGGCGATGTCATGGGCAACTTGATCATCAGCCCGTGGCAGCTGCAAAACGACAAGAGCAAGCTTGATGGTGCCACCGTCAGAGTTTGCACCCCTATCTCCAGCTTTGGGTGTTCAGGGCTTGTACCCATAGGCCCCACAGTAGTTCCTTTTTGGGGCTACTTTCTAGGATTCTATATATGAACGCCAAAAAGGAACTACTTTGGGCCCTATGGGTAGACCTTAAACCCAAAGCACGAAAGCCCCAAAAAACAAACACTGACCAATTAGCAGCCCCAAGGAATTCTCGTAATTAAGCTGTCTGGGTTCTTGCAGGCAGGGAAATTCGGGTTTAGGGTTTAGGGTTCGTAAACTTCTCTACGAATCCAAACGAGTTTTAAGGTGCAGTCCTCAGCGCAGGGTTCCTGGGCTTGCTCCCTAATTAGGGTTTAGGGTTTAGGGTTTAGGGTTTAGGGTTTAGGGTTTAGGGTTTAGGGTGTGTCGGAAAGTCTAGTGCTTTTTGGCTGGGCACTGGACTGGAAAACCCTGTCGAGTTGCTTTCAGGGGATGTCGGGTTGCGGAGATCGTCAACATGACAAGAAGCCTGAAGTTCAAGCTTTTCTCGTTATATACTTCTTCTACCACGACGAGGGTTTATTATGTGAAGGAGGTAATCTAGAAGCTTGCACAAGTGCCAAAAGTCTTCCTCAGGGCTTCTAGCTAGAAACCCTAAACCCTAAACCCTAAACCTATTCTGCTTAAGGCCCCTTTATTCGTGCATGTCGACCCATTGGCTGGTAAATGCCGCCTACCAAAGCCACTACCATCCCCCGATTACCCAAAAACATCTGTTTACACCCGAAAAAAGTTCGCTTACAGGGTCTGGGGTTTAGGCTTTATGACTTCGGGACTATACTTTAAACCTGATTAGGATCCTTAGCAGCAGCACTGAAGATACGCTCATGAACTCAGGGCTGTTGGGCTTCTCCGGTCTTGGTGATACCGCAGTCGATCGTTTGGACTGGTTTATGGTTTCCCTAAACCCTAAACCCTAAACCCTAAACCCCTAAACCCTAAACCCCTAAACCCTAAACCCTTCGGATGTCGGGTTTCGGATTCCGACCTGTCCGCCCCCAGAAAGTTTTAAATTCGGAGGATCCAAAACGTAGGTCCGCTCATCATCTGTGACCATCTGCTACTAAAGGGTCTCTAAATGCTAAACCCGAAAGCTAACTTTTAAGCTTTGCGGCTTGCATAATCCTATTATTTAGGGTCTGGGGTCTAGGGTTTAGGGTTTAGGGGATAATAGGCTATTCTAGTTCAAAGGTTAACCTTTTTTGGTCTGGGGTACCCAGCCCCTAAGTAGAGGACCCCCTCTTCAACGCGAGGGTTCGTCGAGAAAGCATGCCTCCATGCCCTGCCTCGCCAAGAGAATGGCGGCGCTCGCCCAGCGTTTCGAGTGGACGTCATCGCTCGACTTCGGAGCATTCGATGGTTCTCTTGGGAAGGACCTGCGGAACGAGGTCGAGGAGAGCGTCCTACAGAGTTTTGTCGGGCATCTGATTTCGGCGCGCCAATTCGCCTCGGATGCCCTCAGAGACCGCATGAGGGAGAAACTCACTGCCAATGTGCAAGAAGAGGCGCGGCTGCTCATGAAGGAGAAGATCAGGGAAAGTGGAGATCGCGGCACGTCCGGTCTGAATTTCCTGACGAACCTCGTTGCGCTCCTCTCTGCGATCTACCTGCTGTGCCTGGGCTCCAGGGGTTCAGTCCAAAAGCGGCGAGGCAGATGATCATCACATTCCTCCAGGACCACTCCGACGCTTTCAGGACCCCCCATAAATTTCTGAGGGCATATTAAAATAGTCAGAACGTACAAACAGGAATGTTATGGTAGCAAAAGGTAGATGACATCCTGCTGATCCTTATTATGCAACTCCTCTTCAGACGCCGGCTTCTGTTGTACGCTCTCCTCAGACTGCAATGCCATGAGGGTCACGCTGGATACCCAAGCAATTAGGCAGTTCACACCAGGAAAAGCAATGTAACGTAGGTGCCTAAACAATTGCCCATACTATTTAGGGGGGCTCCTTAAAACTATAGTATCCATGGGCCCCAAAACCCTACTCTAATTATTACGGCCCCTACATCAACACAATTCAACCCCCCCCCCCCCCAAAGCCTGATCCGAAATCAACTAATTAAATCCTAAGCCCCCCACTCTGGTTTCAGGTTTGGGATAATTTTGTCTTTTCGTAAATGAGGTTATAAGTATCTTCAAAGGGGTGTAAGTAGTTAGAAGTGTGGTAACCTTATTCGTAACCCTAGTTACTTTGTCCCATTATCCTTTAAGTAGGCAGCCCTAAACCCGGTTCTGCTTGTTGGGCCCTTCGTTAGGAAAGGGCTTGGGAGTACAGTTTTGTAAGCTTAGGCTTGTGCAGTGATCGGGCTTTTGTTGTGGGTTACCCTAAACTTTGAACCCATATAGCTTGAGGTTTCGGAAGCTTGAGGTTTACAAGGCCCTGGCTACTAAACCCCACCGTGCCCTGAACCCTAAGCCCCGAAACGACTCAGTTTTCGGGTACATCCGTCCCTTGAAGACTTGTTACTTTCTTCCTTTTTCGGATGTGAGTGCTCTTTATCGCCATCTCGCCAAAAATTGTTTGACTTGTTCACCTTTGAACGGAGGTAGACTCAGACTCTGCACACCCTACAAAGAAGGATCCTGATTCCGAATGGTGAAAAGTGGCTTCTGTGGGATAATGTAGGGGCTTAAATAATTACCTATACTATCTTGGGGCTTCCTCATTATAGTTATAGTATAATGGGCCCCAATACCCTATTCTAACTTTCCTATATTATGTTGAAGGGTTTAGGGTTTTAGGTTTCAGGGCTTAGCTTACGGTCTAAGATTCCTCACCCTCGAAACCCTCATCACATGCCAGACCTGGAGAATGATGCGGGGCAGCTGTTCATGGAGCTCACCCCGCAGACAGGACGCGCGCAGCGAGTCATTAAAGCCTTGCATAGTACGCATGTGTGTTTGCAAAGCATAACGTGCATCCATACGTACATTATATATGTATACATATATATATATATATATGTATATGTGTGTGTGTTATACGCACATATACCTACTTACCTACCCACCCACCCGTCTACCTACCAACTTACCTGCCTGCGTACTTACACACCTAGGTACATACATACATACATACATACATACATACATACATACATACATACATGTACATACGTGGTTCACTTGCTTCATTCATGTCGTTTCTGTTTGTTGATAAGGTATGCGGTTGTTCTGAAGAAAGGAATTTACATCGCAAGCCTCTTTCGTAAAAGCCACCGCGGCTACCATCCTCGCCCACTTCTTCTTCTTCTTCTTCCTAGTAGTAGAGATATTACCCTGGTCTTCAACCCGGACCCCTAAACCCTAATCCCGTCTTGCCAGGACTGAAGGAGAATCTCTACTTGAAACAGCTCCAGCAGCAGTTTCCAGAGTTAGGCCAGCAACTGTGGGATGTGGCTTCGGATTCGGAGTTTGACTGTGCATTTTGGGGTTTGGGACTTGCTAGCTTCGAAAGCTTGGGGTTTAAACACCGGGTTTCGGATTTAGGCGTTTTGGGTTTGGGGTTTGATGCTCTCTCGTTTGAGGGTAACTGCTCTGGGCTGAGGGTTTAGAGGGATACGGTCTTCGCGCTTCGCGCTACGGGCTGGGCCCCGACTACACTTCTTTTGGAGAGGTGTTGATCCCCTAAAGCCCTTTCAGGTCTATGCCCAAAACCCAAGCTTCCTAAGCCCTAGATGATAAACCCTAAGCCAAAAAACCCTTAAGCCTATGCTTGCGAGGATGGCAGCTTAAGTTTCAGGATGTCAGGTTCTTGATGTCGGCTCAGGGCTGCAAGTCGTTTAAGGCTGAGGCAGGATGTGTCAATAGGGTTTAGGGTTTAGGGTTTTATTGTGTCAATAGGGTTTAGGGTTTAGGGTTTAGGGTTTTATTGTGTCAACAGGGTTTAGGGTTTAGGGTTTTACTGTTGATAGTATAAATCCTGCATTACTTTAAGGACCCTAAACTATGGGAATGATTGTATATTCCTTAGTATGGGTAATGCAGGATTTATATCATGAGCCGTAGACCGGTTTTCCTTGTCGATCAGCTCATATCCCTAAGGATCCATGTGCACAAGTAGTATATACTTTGGCCGCAAAGTACCTATATGATATGGGGACTACCTTAAGGCCAAAGTGTATGCTATATAATGTAGGAGTACGTGGACCCTTGGGGTATTTACCAAAAAGGAAGTTCGTGAACAATACGGAGACAATACAAACTTCGATATTTTGGCCTACAGGCCTACCGGTGGTTTGGATGACGGCACGGTCTAAGAGGTGTAAGAACAGTCAGTAAAACAAGCTTGCTGGAATCCTCAACCCTGAACCCTAAACCCTAAACCCTAAACCTTAAACCCTAAACCCTACTCCCTCGACCCGGACCTCTGAGTGCTAAAGCCTACACCCTAATGAAGCCCCGAGCCATGAACCCGAAGTCCTAAAACCCTAAACCCTAAACCCTAAACCCTAAACCCTAAACCGTAACATAGGAGGCCGAGATAAGTACTAAGACTATTTTGGAGGTTTGGGGTTTAGGGTTTAGGGTCCTATTCTGGGCGTCTCCCTAGGTCTTTATCTGACCTCTCCTGACATCCGCCCGCGAATTCCTTCCGAGCCTCAAGAGCCCCTACACCCCAGGATTTAGGGTTTAGGGTTTAGGGTTTTAGGGTTTAGGGTTTAGCGTTTAGGGTTTAGGGTTTTAGGGTTTTAGGGTTTAGGGTTTAGGGTTTAGGGGGCTTGGGGTTAGGGTTTAGGGTTTAGGGTTTAGGGTTTAGGGTTTAGGGTTTAGGGTTTAGGGTTTAGGGTTTAGGGTTGGGGGTTTAGGGGGTTTAGGGTTTAGGGCCCCAAGAGGC